GATGAAACTTTTTACGATACTAACAATGTTCGCGAATATTTTTTAAGAGTGACTCGTCTTTTAAGAAAAACTGGCCCTGTTAGAAAAACAATCAATATTGCACATAGCAACAAATTATTTCCTGCAATTTGTGATTATATGACAAACAATTTAGCTCGCGTGCGCAAAAGATGATGTACGTAACATTTCGTAACGCTTAATAAACATGAATAGCGAATAACGTAAGTGGCAGTGAGTTGAATGCGTGAGAATGACATAAATTTTATTACTACGATGTGGCACCAAGTCAGGCTGTAATTTACGGAGACTATTATTTTCTCAATGAATCCTCAAAACTGGCAATCTTCGCTCGCTTTACAGACAATTTCGACTGTAAAATTTTTATGTTGGCTGAATTACAAGAGAAATGTATCTACTACATTAGGATAATTAGAATCACTGATGAATGCATCGAAGTCGCATAAAACGAGATAATAAATAATACCAAAAAGATTTCCAATAAGACAATTACATAAAACTTGAAGATACAGCTATTCATTATATTATATTTATCTGTTACGTCTAACACATGAAAATACATTGGCTAGAATTTATCAGGATCGAAAATGAATCAAATTATTCGTCGCGCGAGAGGATAATATAATAGAGAGACGATCAAAATGCAGGAGGATTAAAAATGAGATGTAAACTGACTGTGCTCACATTGTCGCAATAAAATCTTAATAATAGAATTTGAATTTATTCAATTAAAACTCTTCTCCCTTTTAGAAATCTTTAAATTGTCAAATCAAAGTATACAGAAACAAAATTACATATTTAAACAATTTTGCAATAGAGCTAATTATTACATAAAATAAATAACAATATTCAAACAAATTGATTTTAATTTATGCTTGAACAACTTCTACAAACATGTCAAATCCATTATAATTATTAAGAGACTGTTTTAAAAAGGTGCAAAGTAAAAGTATTTAATTTTTCTTGAGTTCTTTAATTTCACTTTTTGACCAGAAAAATGTTGTTTGTTATTTTTCGTTGGCTTATCGATAAACGAGAAACGCTGACTTTATCCCTTGCAAAAGTTTATTCTCATCTAATACATGCCGTTAGCAGAAAGAAGATGGAGCGGGCGTTAACCAGTATTAAGTTCAAGATAGCGGAATAGGGTGAAGAGTTTGAAAGAAAAGATTGAATTGCAGGCAGACGCGTGCGCATCGCGTAATGTGCGACTATTAGCGCGCGGTAATTACTTTCGAAGAAGAAATCGACATCTAATTTAATTTAGGAGCTCATGTTTGGTGAGACGTGACGTAATCGACGACTGAAACAATGTCGGGACGAAATGGGATTCGCAAGGAAGGGATCAGCTAGAGCCCCGTTACTAGCTAGAGCCCGGAGCGAGCCTAGCCTGTCAGCCAAAATAAACAGAATGTCACGGATATAAATAAAGCTTTCACTCTCTTCGTTCTTCTTTTCGTTGGGCTGTCGCGCTTGACGTTGTGACAGAGGTTCCTTGATCGGCGTGCATCCCGTCGGAAACATCGCTAAAATGGTTCACCCGCCGCTACGTCATTGACAAGAATAATTATAGGACGAGAGATTAAGTTCGCCCTCCATTCAGTAGTTTCCTCAATTGTGAGCTAAATACTAGCATGAAATTATTCGAGAATTGACAAGCCGTTATGTTACCTTGAACAAAATCTACATTTTCACGAGACTATTCAAGAACTCGCGTTGATTGAACGGAAGAAAATGCAATTGAATAATTGACACCATTCTAATGGTGTATTTGTGTATCATGCGTGTATCTATTAATTTTATGGAAAAAATTAATTATTAAAAGATATTCTACAACTGTAATAACTTGTCATATTGTATATGTGGAGACTCATTCATAAATTCGCACTGATAACTGTCGGATACTAATTCTTGTAAATGTTATCGTGTCCCAAGGAATCCACAATAAAACAGTTCGGTGTTATATAAGGACGTCAATGTACATTATATCTGCATGTTTCCGAGAAAGTAAGTTTTACGTTCGCGACTAATCTCGCGCTTTGTGCACGAGCTCGTGAGCTCGCTTTATCTGAATTCGGCTTACGTCAGTTGCGGCGTTCATGAGATTCACCTAACGACAAGGCAACTATAATACTGTGATACCGGATAACGTGCGTTCTCCTCTTGTTTACTATTTTCCCGTTTTACCGGGATTTGCATGTAGCTACAACGGCACTATTCATGGCGGCCGTCGCGCCGCCGCAGGTCCCGCATCCTGTATGGAAAAATCCTTTTCCGTATTGCACGTGCGCGTGGTTACGAATAGCCTGATCTCGGTTTCGGTTACACCACGTCGTGTCTATTCATTTTTATATACAACCACGGGTGTTATGCACTTGTACCCCAGTTCCGTTCGCCTATGCCATAAGTAGAACGAAGTTTTTGCCGTCTATAGACGGTGGTCCGAATAAAACAGATGATTACCATGACTATACTTTTCTCACAACTCTTTTGACAGATAAGTTGAGACTTGTGCAAATCTATTCTAAATTTTGCTTCAAGGCGAATGTCCATAGTGTTAACTCCGTTGGCTGTTCTTGGACATATTTTTATTCTGTATTTACATCACATTTAAGTATATTGTATTGACACATAAAAAAAACATTTTTTATCATTGCATCTATTTAATACGCTTTTATCTCTCTCATATTGGTGTAAGGAAATGGATTTAACTGCGTTGAGAAATTTCATAAATTTTTCAGAAAATATAGATTTTCTCCTTACTTATTCAATTGAATTTCTTTCCTGCCATCACGTTTTCATTACTTAGAATTGTTTCCGTTAATTCAATCGAAAAATTAAGGCCAATTCAACTGCGAAACCGTGGCGATTGAATGGTTAACCAATGGAGTAACTTCTGTTTAACGCGTAACTGCTGGTAAACAGGATCGAGGGTTGGTCCATGTAACGCGGTTACTTGATCTAGGATCTTGTTCGCACAACTGCGCAAGCTCGACCGTAACAAACAAAGTGTCAGAATCAGGTTTCGGTTAATGCTAAACGCGAGGTGTAAAGCCGCTTGAATCTTGGCGTGATTACAATTTGGCATGTCATTTGCACGCAGCGCAGCTAGAGCGCCTGAAAACGGCGTTGCGCATCGACGCAATAAAAAAAAAAGGGCCGCGCACGAGCATCCTTTGAGGGAGGAGGGGAAGGAGTTCTTATGCGACACAAAGCAGGAAAAGAGGAAGACAAACGGACGGGTAAAAAGGGGGAAAAAGAGGCGTAAAGGGTAAAACATGGAACGGAAGAGTGAACGATCATGCGAGAAAGAAAGAGAGGCGGCAGAGGAAAAGAGGGGGAGGAAAGAGAGGAACCGTGCGGTCCAGCCGAGCGTAGCACGTGACGGGTGTCGTTAATATTTCATTAGCATTCGTTTTGCGTCGTCCCACCGACGTGGCCGGTTTTATATACGCTTTACGTTACACCCCCGTCCAGCCGGTAGTCGAATTTTTATTGCTAACGCGGCGCAGTTATCCGTAAAAAAATCGCGCGTTTTGCCGCGTTCGTTGACTCTCCTGTTGGTTTTCGCGGTACTATCCGATGCGCTTTTCGACGTTCTCCAATTTTTACATGGCCCTTCCCCGATCGATGCGCGATGGAAGAAATTAGAGAACTCGCGGTAAAATTTTCTACATGAATAATATTCATGGATCACGAGGGATGATTATCTTTCTCCCCCTTTTTTTCCAATCGTATTTCCCTATTTTTAATAATTTATTAAAAATATTATCAAATTATGATTTATTTAACATTCATTTCCTACAGCGTATATTTAATTATATGTAGCGGAATAATTTATACAATAAATTGATTAGAAAATGTGGGTCTTACAATGGTTTTAAGACTAGAATTAGTTCATCAATCTTTAAGTCCTCAGTTACTCTCGTTATACACATATATGTATATGTATGTCAGCTATTCTCGCGCTCTAGTACTAGTTATTACTGTTGTATGTAGTACTTTTTATTACTTTTGCATTGAAAGAAAATTATCTCCTGAATGGAACGTTTACACAATATCTGCGCAATATTGAGAATAATGCCTGTTTTCCCGATGTCTGCGATTATTGTGTACCTATCTCCGAACAATGCAACATTGTCCACGTGAATCCGAGAATTTAAAGAGATCAAGAAGCTGAAGAAGAAAGGAACGTGCCATGTAAGAATTCGCTAACCGATTTTTCGTCGTCTTGGTAACTGTATGTTGCCGACCGAAATTTGTTCGCCTATCCTCACGACTCTCTTAGCCTATTACTTTATCGTCCTACCACTTGGTGCTTCGCAGCTCGCTTATGTCTTCTTTGACTACGCAATCTCGACAAGCCCCTCAATTCAACCAATTAATTAGCAACTAATGAACGTGCTTTGAGCTGCATTCTCCGCCGAGCGAAGAGAGTTAACTTTACCTTCGCGATCGTCATTGTTGTCTTCTCTTTTGCCTATACCGCCGTTGCTCGGAATTCCGCTCTTAATCACGCCAGAACTTCGAAGCGATCGAGCGATCATTAAACAAGACGCTCAAAATCTTATTATATTTGACGTTATAAAAATTTAATATTTTTGCAAAAGCCAGGACTTTGGTGTACACGAAAAAGATCCAAATTCCTTTTTAACAAAGCATGGATCACTTTAAGAAAAAAATATATTCGATACGAAACACTACCACGTTTCTTAATTTCTTATAAAAACACATGCATTTGCTGCTGTAGCATCAGCACGTTCTCTGCTTCAGATAAATCGATTGATAAAACAAGTTGTTGTTATTTTGATTTTTAACAATCAATTAGTTTGAGCAACAAGAATATTTTCTTCTTAGAAAAACAATACTCTTTGGTTAAATCGATATTAATTCACGTACAATGTGGTCTGAATGCGTCGCGATATTAGAATTTTAATTCGCAATCTTTTAGCCTGGAAAAAATAATTAAAATTTTCACTCACCATTCCGATTCTCGCTGTCGGCCGGCTTCATTTGGATCGGATGGCGCATCTGAAAATAAAAGAGTCAACGATATAGTTTGCGTTCTCGCGCCGCGAAAGCGTTCGGGCGCATGTGATAAAAGTGACATTTATTATTGATAAGACTGCCGATATCGTCGACGTTAGAGAGCGGGTTCGAGTGTAAAGTTCGTTTCGCGCTTTTTGAAAAATGCAACGACGGGAAGCCGTTTTCCACGGTTTGCGGTTCGCTCTCGTTGTACTTACATAGAGACGAGTGCAATTCGCCCGATCTTATTCTAAGGATTCTTTCCTATTTCGTGCGCGAGACCGAAAATCGAACGCGATATAACGCCGGAATTCGCCAGAATGTTTTATAGAATGCCATATCGTTGGCACAAACACATATATCCGTATCGATGCAGCGTGCTACTCCCGGTTGTCCACGATAATTTACTATTTTTAATATATTTATTTGATTCCTTACATGCAATGGTTTAAAGTAAATCTGTTTTCAATCGCTTTTTTAACTATTTTTCCCAAAGTTTCAACGCCTTTAAATATTTTGACAATTAAATCATAAATGATCAACACATGTTTTATTAATATAATTACTTAAAGTTAATGAATGCCAAGATTTTGTTGCGCATTCATAACTTTGAAATTTACTAAAAAAATTCCACATTTCTGCAACCACTTGTAGATAAAAACACATCAAGATTAATATAATTTAATGTTCAATTATCAAGGAACTTGATAAAAAAATAAATAAATAAATAAATAGAATTTGTTACAACATAACAAAGCAGCCACTAAAATTTTAATACATACTTTCTCTAATAGCAGATATTGCGATAGCACAATGTTTATTATAACGGTGTAGCCATTGAAACGGGCGATATTTTTTTATAAACGATATTTATGAGTGAAATGTGAGTGTGTGTGTGCGCGCGTGTGTGTATGTGTATGGAAATTGAGTTTGGAAAAGTAGATTCATCGTATGGCCAATCGCTTGTGTGAATATGGAAACATTTCGGCGTACTCGTTCAAACGAATGCAATGAGATTTTCTGCGCAATGAATCGATGACTGGCTGCGTGTTTGCGACCAATACGCGAGATCTTCATAAACAGATAAGAATTGAGAAGCATTAGCACACAGTACTGCGATATATGTACGCCATACGTGCGATTATCTACCGCTCGTTGTAATAAAATCGATTTATGTCAAATTTAATTGTGCGGAGTTTGCTGCGGGATAAAATTCATTGCAAGTGAATGTTTTAGCAATTATGGAAGTGAAACAGAGTACGTGCGAGTTGTAAACAATTTTCGAGCAAATGACTGTTATCGTGGCTGAACACGTGCGCAGGCTCTCATATTTTCCTATAAATGTTTAAAATACTCTCTCAAATTATTTCAATACCATGGCGATTTCGGGAATAAAAAGCGCGGCCAATTAAAAATTGTTTTAATTGCGATACGCGAATGTAATAGCTTAGCACAATAATCGACAGACCTCAACTATTTCGTTTACAACGTTTCGTTCTACAAAAATTGCATTTGTTGCATTCGCGGAATAATTATTGGTAATATATAGTTACCGTGTAAATTACTTTACTATAAATATACTTCTATAAGATTAAAAATTTTTTAATATAACGTTTTTTATTGTATACATGTCTGGATATACATCATTTAACAGCTGCCACTAGCAGTCTTATGGAAACTCATAAAAAAATTAGTGTGGTGATTATTCTTGGCAAATAAAAATGCAATGGCTGTATCATAAAGTTAAGCCCTTTCAGCCGAGATGATGCATTATTGCGCCATAACAAAGTAACTGCACGAGGAAGGAAAGAAAGAGAGAAAGGGTTCGTGAAAGAGTAACAGAAAGGGAATATCATCGAGGAAAATGGCAGCTAATCTAACATTTTCATTTATTATGATAGTTATTACACGCCGGAGAAATGAGCCATCAGTTTTTACGACGCTCGAATTATATCGATCGAGCAATTTATACGTCAACGGGAACGATGAACAAGGAGTTACGATCTGAGTCACTTTTAAACTCCTTATTTTTAATTTAATTATTGAGCTCGTTAAATTTAACACCGTCACTAAGTTCTGGCGACGATGAGAAAGCTCGATGGAAACGTTCGAGAGATCGTCGATGTGCTGCCAGTCGTAATGAATGACTCACGGCGTTGTGAGAAACGGAAGAAGAAGAGTACACACTTCGTAAACACGTCATCGCTAATTGATTAAATATGAGCAACCATGTCGTTATAATGTTTCAGAATGACGAAGGATACAGTAAATATGATCAATGAAAAGATTGATATTGAAAATATGTGTGCAAAGATGACATTTGTGATTGTTTAAAAGTAACACGTATATACTAATTTATTCTAAATATTTTTTAATTATAATAAACCGTTATTTCCCCTCTGTGTCTTAACACACTTTATATATTCGTGTAACTCGTTTCCAATTCTTTATTCGTTTTAGAATTAGTCTCCATTTCGGATACTCTCAGTTGTATAAAGTTGTATAACTTCACAATGTCAGGGGTTTTCGTTTCTGTGAATTTTTATTACAATTCTTGATTGCAATTCAATACAAGAAACAATAAATATATAAATTAGTATCAGTATTCACGATACTGGTGTTTATATACTCGTACCATCACATTTATAAATTCCTAATTCTATTTTCAATTCAATAAACAATGTGTGTGGATCTGTTCTATTCAAAATGGTACACCAATCATCTATAGATTTTTATTTCCATTCCAGATACTTTTATTTGTACGCTCTTTTTATTTGTACAAAGGTCAATCAGTGCATTATCACTGAAAACATTTATAAGGCATTGAATAACTCATATACCTAACTGAGAATCAGTGGATATTCACTATTTTCAGTGATAAACCATTGATTGACTTTTAGAGAGCAGGGATCGTGAATTATTCGGGCCTTGCCAGGGACAATTCCGTTTATAGGCAGCCTAAGTCTATAGGCAGTCATTTTCATAACTCCCTACATTTGATGTAATCCGCCGGGCAGTTACGATCGTTTTTAGGGGCGAAAGGGTTAAGACTCCCCCCGCAGAGCATGTCCGCCGAGAACTCCGGCGCTCATTTGCCATTCATTCCCGAAACTGGGTTGCTCGCAATTGTGCCTCCGGTCCTATCTCGCAGCCGTCTGTGCCAGGATCATCCCAAGATTCGAATTCGATATCCGTATCGACCAGCGGGATCGATATGCCAAGTCAGGTATAATCGGCCCGCCAGCCACGATTGCGATCGAAGATTATGCGCATCGACTAACGACCCATATACCACAACGATGATGCAATCTGGAGGCACCAGATTCACTATATAGAGCAGTAAGCTAGTATACTTTACCAATACGAGACATAATGGAATACTGTACAATAGTACTGTGCAGTAGCTTCAATATTTTAAGTATACTATTCTATTGAAAATGCTAAATTTTTGAGTGCTGACATCGAAATATTATTTGGCTAAAAAGCACCTATAAAAAGTAAATAATGTCAATGATTCAAGATAATCTTCCGTAATTTTAATTTTAAAAACAGCAAACTATGATACTGTCATCTCAATAACTTTTTCACAAGTCTTTATTGTGTTTTTGAATTTGTATATATTTTACAAATAGGATGTCTCATAATAGTATTTTATCTTTTAAACTCTATAATATTTTCCAAATTTTATAACACCGTACGCAGAATTTCCTTCCCAAAAGATTCTCTCAAAATATTAACACACAACGCAGATCTAATTTTCATGGTTGTTCGTAAATTGAAAGATAACAGCTGACTAACGAACACGTTGTTTGAACGATTTGTCTGAGAGATTGTCATAATAAAATTTCTCGTTAATCCTTGGCATGTCTAACGATATAAATTAAATGATCCAACATATCAAGAGAATTTTACACGCTCATAAATAGAACACTGGCTATCTCGACTGTGTTGCTTGGAGAAATGCCTGCTAGCCGGCCTCTTAAATCAGCGAGCGGAACGCTCGTACCAAAACTAGTCGTGTAACTATTATCTGGAAACCATCTTTGAACTCTCGTAAATATTTTAGTCGAAAACTTATAACCGCCTAAATTCACTATAAGTTTATATCTAAAAGCTATTAACGCTAAGAAAAAAGGTGAAGAAAAAAATGTAGAGATTAATCTAAAGCTGAAATAAATCTGAGTTGATGAAATGAATTATAAGAATCTAAAGAATGGGTTTGGATATCATGAAAAATACAGTGTAAAAAGAATTCTGTCCGAGGATAAGAAGATGCATCCCGTTCAGAGGCGCGCGATATCTTGTTGCGAGTGAGTTCAGAATATTCTATTTGCGAATCTCCTCGATACTCCGGACGCGAAAGAATTTCTCGTATCGCAATGTGAGAGCCAGCTTGAAATTCATATCTATGCTAAGCGCGTGGCGCGTTTGGGTTTAGTGCCTTCCGCATCGTACCTTTATATTGCGGCCGATTCGGTAATTTTGTGCATAGCAATTCCGCTTAAAGTCGACGGATGGTTCGATCCATAGGCAAAGATAAATTCCGTCTTCTCGACGGGATTTTTATAGGGGCCCCGTAATTCGAGAGGCGCGTATTCGGATAACATGAGAACGCCGGTGGAAAATTTGGGGAAGCGCGGAACGATATACCTGGCGATATCTGGCGAAGAAATTAAATGAGCTCCCATGGGTCAAAATGTTCCCCTGAAACGCTGATATCTTTGGAATAATAAAATATCTGGAATAGGTGAAGCGTAATCGGCTTTCAGCCTTTCGAACGTGCAATCTCCTCCTGACGGACTGCAATTCTCGATTTTTAATCTAGACTCTTCCCAAGAAATGAAGTTCAACAGTTTTCGCGCAAAAGAAGGAGCCGCTAGCACGAGTTGAAGTTACACTCGTGAATTTCTCCCGGCGTTCATCCTCATTTAGGAAGTGCAAGTTTTCTTTCGTAGAAATTCTTTTTCCATATCATAAGTTGGAGACTCGACCTTTTATCTCGC